AAAGCATTACTCGAAAGCTATATATATATATATAGCCTAGATGTTCTGGTCTAGTTCTCTGGGCAGAGAACAAGTGGAGTAGCATGGGTAAAAATCCTGCTTAGGACAAACATGCAGTTCTAAAGTGAGTAATCTGACAAAAAGTGATTTGGTTTCTGTTCAAATAAATGTTTGAATATTGTTGATATTCGCATATCACATTCCAAAAGTAAGCAATACGCCTCTTCTATGATCAAAAACAAAATTCAAGTACTCGCAAAGCGTTTTGTGTTCGTACCGACCGACAAAGCAGCCAACAATATGTTGGTGGTATGACTTAAATACTACAAGTAAGTCCTTAAGGGTGAAATTATACATTTAACTACATGAAAGGCCGTACGCTCCACAGAGAGTCAAATAGTAAGTAATGATGTCACTACCACAGCCCAGCTTAAGGCCTCCTCTGAACATTTGAAGGTCCCCACTATGTATTAGTTACATAAACTACACAAAAGACCCGTAAAATATACCGTTTCATCTCGGCCTCTAGTAAGTGATCTACTATTATTCTTTTAGTGCTTTTAGCTAGTTCCTAAATTACCAAAGAACTCATCATTGACTTTTGTAACAAAACATGAAAAATAGTGGTATTAGCTATTTTGGAGTGTAAACAATTTTTGGGATATTTCAAATAAAGTACTTGCTATTTATAGTCCTTTTGATTCGGTTGACAGTTTTGACTTTCCCAATGTTTATACTACACTTGCACACAATCTTATCAAACTAAAGTTTTTCTATTTAAATGTAATCAAATGGTCGTTTGAAAAATCTGATTGCAAATTTATTTCCTGCAACTCATATAAAGTCTTTTTATCTAATGACAAAGGTAAGTATGCTAGATATCTCACTGCAGATGTTGTGAGATGATTAAAGCTGTTTTCTCCTTGACAACATTTATTTACGTTTCGGCAATAAAGTTTATCGATAGGTTGTAGGTATTCCTATGGTTACCAATTGTGCCCCTTTGATAACAGACTTGTTCCTATACTGTTATGAATCACAGTATATAGCCCAACTCAGTAAAGACCCGTCTAAATTCCATTTGATTAATAAATTCAACTACACTTACCGTTATCTTGATGATTTTTGTCTTGAATAATCAAGAGTTTTGTAAATATTCTACCGAAATTTATCCAAAGGAACTTACCTTTAATAAATGAAATATTAGCAGCAATAACTGTCCATTCCTCGATTTAGATATTTCGGTGTTACATGAGAAGCTCTACACAAGCATTTTCGACAAAAGGGACGATTTTTCTTTCTCTATTGTCAATTTTCCTTTTTTGGACGGTTTTGTTCTTTTAGCACCGTCTTACAGAGTTTATATATCCAAACTCGCTCACTATGCCCGTGTCTGTAATGAAGTTTTGGATTTCACTGAGCGTAATCTATATATTATCAGTAAATTATCAAATCAGGGATTTCGTTACCACAAATTACTTAAAACATTCACTAAATTTTTCCATAGATACACAGATTTGGTTCGGAAGTTTGGCTTTTCCTGTAGAAAACTTATTTCAAACGAAATAACACACCCTGATTTTTACGGGGATGTTGTTTACCGAGACCGAAAATTTAAATACGATCTGGGTGAACTTATCGTTCCTTTTAATAAACTTAAAAGGTTATCAATTCAACACTGTAATTAGATCTTTGATTTTTTTAAATTGGTATAAATAAAGATTTTTTATCAGTAAATTAAAATCATACTAAATATTATTGTTAAACACATATGCATATTCATGGTTGTACAATCTGTCTATACCTATAATTTGGCAAAGCACAAGGTCATGTTTTTGTTTGACTGTTAATGGCGTCTTTACACTAAATCTATTGGAAGCTGATTGTGGTTACGACGCTTGGAAAATACCCGTCATCATTTATCAAACAGATATCTCATTACGACCAATCGTATATATTCACGATTCACGAAGGTAGAGAACGCGAGTACAAATAGTTGCGAATATGTCAAACTGGGATCTTCTCACGAACAAAGTTATATAATCCCGAATTTTAATGAAATCGGTTAAAAACGAATAAATTCGAAAAAAATGATTTAAAGTACATTTGAAATGCGTTTGAATATTAATTCCTGGTTACACATATTTAGTGGAAACATAAGGAATTTTCACGACGGTTGAATAAAATACATCTTGTGATATGTGCTGCTTTCGATGCCCATTTCTGGAATAACCTTCATTAAGAAAGTAGGGAAAACCACAGATGTATAACTGGATGGGACTATTATTACCAAAAACAGATCTCAAATATCCATTCATCCTGGAAAACGTTGTTCGGCGATTTTTGTTTACGCAAAAAAAAAAAAACAACCAAAAAGATTATCAGTTGGAAATTTATAAAAATTAAGATAAAAACACCGTTAAAACTAGGTAAATAATAAATAATTTAAAAAAAAAACATGATATTAAAAGTGAAATTGGTGTGTGTTAAAAAGCTTATTTATCCCCAAATTTCGACTTATACTTGTCCTAAGTCAAGATCATCATAATCGTACTAGAAACGTGTTTTTTCATCAAAATTTAAATGTGAGAAAACTAAATTTAAAAAAAATAAACATTGAAATTTCTTTTCTTAGTGATAGCTGCTATATTGTGTTTTTTGTGTGCACCTATCTCTATATCTAGCATTCCAAGGATGATCTGATGTAAAGAAATAGCATTATTACTGGACGTCTCATATCCGACTGCAAAACAGATGCTAAATGGGAACATCCAAATGAATTTACGGGATGTATAAATACGCAACAACGTCCAGTCAAATGGAGAATTGAAAACCGATGCCTCGTACAGAAAGAGTGCCACAATCTCTGCATGTCGAAGAACCTTTGCTACAATTATTTTAGGTAACTTTTGAAAAAAAAAATAATAAAGTAGGACGCAGTCGAAGTTTTGCTCTGCCCAAGTGCTTTTACAGAAAATATGATTTAAAGAGTAACCTAGACCTCTTCTGTACGGCAGTATGACCCATGCTGAAGAGGCTTCCGTTTTGCTTTGCAGGATGTGTCTATACGCAGTCAATGCTCTTCAACTTCGTACTTTACTTGGTCTTTTAACTTTTTTATTCGAGCGTCTTTGAAGAGATTTTTGTAGATGAAACGCTCGTCTGGCGTACAAAATTATAAGCCTGGTATCTTTCATGAGATTTTTTTCAGAATGGGAATATAAAATCCAATGCATCGTGTTTGAAGACCACCACGATCTTTGCATTTTAAAAACACTTTCAACAACATTTTAAGGGTGCGTAGACTGTCCCCTAGAAGGCAAAATTATGTCCCTTTCCAAAACTCTCTTTAATCAGAAGCAGTTCAGAAACGTTTTTCAAGTGTTTGTTAAATTATTTTATCTTAATTTTACAGAAATTATTAACCCCTGAACGGGAAATTCTTGAAAAAACAACCAATCTATCAATCAAAGAAGTTTTACAATGTACTACGATGACCGCTACGTAAAGCAAATAGCTGTTTCTGTTCTATTTGGGGTTAAGTAAAAGGCATAAAAATGATATACTGATGCAGATGAAAAAAAACCCAACACATTCCGACTTCCGTGCTTTTAGATGCACTAACATTGTATAAAACATGTTCCCTAACATGTTGACCTAACGAAACTTTGAGGTAGATAGATAAGGTTATGAAAGGTATATATTTAGGACTCAAATCTATGGCGGGTTCCAGATCTATGGCAGATTCCTAATCTATGGTAAATATGACGTCATGTCATCCCAAATCTATGGCAGTTTTTTTTAGAATCCTAATCTATGGCAACTTTTTAGTTTCCTAATCTATGGCATTTTTTTTAGTTTCCTAATCTATGGCGGATTTCTAGATTTCAAATCTATGACAGATTTTCTGCAAAGGTCGGACCAGTCAGTACATATCTGACCAATGATTTCGAGGTCGAAATGTCCAAAGGTAGCAAAAAAGCTGCTTTTAAATAAAATCCAGTATAAGAAAAACAAATAAGAACTATTACTAGGAAGCATATACATAACCGTTTGTAAAATGAGCACAGACTGTAGGTTTGAAATCATGTGCCCCGGAAGAATACTTATTTCCTACTCTGTGTATACTAGTAGTACCTGTGTGACCCTCTAAAAAAATCCTTATTTCTCCAACAGTACAGTTTTTCGACATATTTAGAGCGGAAAACGATATTAATATCTATTAGAAATCTATATCATATTTATTTTTTCCAAATCTCAAGAAAGATTGTTTGCTACAATAGTACAGGTAGTCACTGTTATATAGACATATATACTATGACAGATTTTCTGCAAAGGTCGGATCAGTCAGTACATATCTGACCAATGATTTCGAGGTCGAAATGTCCAAAGGTAGAAAAAGAGCTGCTCTTAAGTAAAAACCAGTATAAGAAAAACAAATTAGGACTATTACTAGGAAGCATATCCATAACCGTTTGTAATATGAACACAGACTTTAGGGTTGAAAGCATGTGCCCAGGAAGAATAAGTATTTCCTACTCTGTGCATAGTACCTGTTTGACCCTTTATTTAACCAAATCCATTAACAACACACAAGCAGTTTGAATTTTTAACTAATATCTATTTGAGCGTTGAATAATATAAATCTTGTTGGACTGATGACGGTTTAAGTCCTTTAATGAACAATGACTCGCCTCTAACACGTGACTCTCTAAACAAATCCTTATTTTTCCAACAGTACAGTTATTCGACATATTTATAGCGGAAAACGATATTAATATCTATTAGAAGTCTATGTCATATTTATTTTTTCTTAATCTCAAGAAAGACTATTTGCTACAATAGTACAGGTAGTCACTGTTATATAGCTGACAAAATACTTTATGTTGTGTTACTTCTTACAGAAAATTAAAGAGATCATAGGAATACAAAAAAAAATAGTATAAAAACACAAAACAGCAAACCAAAATGAACGGTAAAAGCTCGTACAATTAAGGGTGATGCCAACACCAGCAACACGAGAAGAAGAAAACAAGGGTAGAAACAAACACAATTTTGAATTATAATTTATTTATTAATTTTTATCCTTTTCGATCTTTTTCTTTTCCTTTGTATAACAAAACCGTCGTCGTCATCGGCAGCTTCAACGTTCCATGACGTTATTTAATTGTGACGGAAAATTACGTAGTATCCAAATCTGCCATAGATTTGGAGAAAACAAAAACTGCCATAGATTTGTGATTTGTTTGGCGTTTGTGACATCATATTTACCATAGATTAGGGATTTGCAGAAATTTGCCATAGATCTGGAACCCACCATAGATCTGAGTCCTACATATATAACGTATAGCTATGCCAAAAAATTATTACTAAATGTTTAAATTTTTCAGTTCATAGTGCATGATTCTAAAGAGGATCCTGTTTTCGAAGGAAAAAGTGGGTTTTATGTTGAGCCAGGAAGAGAAGTGTTTGCTTCAGTGCATAAAACTCAGGTAAATACTTTTAATGGTTTATATTTAATTCCAATCATTATGTTAAATCATGTATTAACATATTACATTTATATGGATACATGTTTAACTTGATGCAAATAATAAGCGTTCATACATACTTAAGTTGTTAATTTCTGTGTCATTTGGTCTCTTGTGGAGAGTTGTCTCATTGGCAATCATACCACATCTTCTTTTTTATGATAATAATGCACATTGAATATATGTTCAGTCAAGAAGGCCGAAAATGTACGGGTACTTACATCATTTAGAATGTTAAACAATGGTAACATGGAAAACAAAAAAACCTTAACAACAACAGGGACGGTTCGTGATATATATATTAGCGACAATAAGTGAAATTAGGCATTAAGCTTCAATCTTAGGTAGTAAGCTAACGCCTAGGCATTAAGTTATTGCCTGAATCTCACACATTAAGCTTATTTCCTGTAATCTGATGAAGATTTGTCCATCTACAAATGTGTTGTCAAACATAATTTCAGACAATAAGTGAAATTTTGGATTTTTGTTTTGTCTTCCAAATATTAATATACATTCATCGGTTGATAACTCAAGTAAAGTAGAATAAGGGAAATTTCAAATATTTATTACGATAATTGGAAACGTTCATGAGCGCTCGTACTTAATTCTAAAGAAAAGGATTATCATTGTCTAACGTTTACCACAAATATGAAAATTAACTTTATTTCGATAAATTTAATCAACAATGGTTCATCGATATACAATAACATTAACGGTACCAATTTTTCTGCACCAGATGAGCATTTTGACAATAAATGTCTCTTCAGTGATGCTCGAGGCCAAAAAAGTTGAAAATCCAATGCTTATTAAAAATATGAACAGTTTAAAAACCAAAAAGGACAAAAACGTATAGCCAAAATCGGACAAAGAATCAGAATTTTGCATGAGGGAGATAGATTCCTTAACTTAGAATAATCAGCAATCAAAGTATATCAAATATCTCTGTATCACAATGTTGATATAATAGATTAGTTGCTTTAACTAATAGCAACATCATAATTGTTTTCTTGTCTTGAATATTCTATTATTTTTACAATTTGTTTTTATGTCTGCCTATTATAGTTTGAATATTTGCCGCAGCCTTATGAAGCGATTGGGAATATGTTTTGCAGAGATCACACGAACGACGACGGTTCTGATTACTATAGAAGCTCTTGTTACAAGGATTGTTTATCAACTTTTCTTATAGACCAATGTAATTGTCTCCCTTACACACATAACAGTAAGTTCATAGAAATGATGAATGAAGAAGGAATATTCAGGGACTAACATATATATATAGCAACCTCAGTCTTTTGACTGTTATTTCAATAAATCGTTCAAAATTATATTAGCTTGACGATACTAGACAGTTTAATATCCGCGCAGGCAGAAATAGTTTAAATCGGTAATACCTTATATGTAGAGTGTAGCAGAAACATCTTTTGAGATGGGCTGATACAAGCTCGGTTGTACACAGCAACACTACAATAACTAATATTGTTTGAATAAATAATGTATAAAATGGAAAACAAAAACAATTACATGATTATGTATTATATAGCGTTTCACATTACGTATAAATAATGAATTGTAAACTTCATGTTTAACCCCATCACATTTTGTATGTGTCCCAAGTCAGGAGCATGTAATTCAGTGGTTATCGTTTGTTGCTGTATGTCATATTTGTATTGTTTTTTACACAAATCAGGTCGTTATTTTTCTTGTTTGAATTGTTTTACATTTGTCATTTCGGGGCCTTTTATAGTAGACTATGGGGAATATTGGTTTTTCTCATTGTTGAAGGTCGTACGGTGAACTATAGTGGTTAACTTCTATGTCATTTGATCTCTAGTGGAGAATTGTCTCATTTATGGCAAGCCGTTCTCGTCAAAACTATGTTTAAACCATTTTTCGAAAAATTTACACACTGAGAATTAAACAAAAAAAACACAGACTGAGATTAAAAAACCTAAAAACACATACTGAGAATTAAGAATTACACACTGAGATTTCATAAAAACGCACTGAGATTACAAAAAATAAAAAAAAAACACACTGAGAATTGAAAATTACACACTGAGATTTCAAAAAGTCACACTGAGATGAAATTAACTCAAAAACACACACTGAGAATTTTAAACTACACACTGAGAATTTAAAATTACACACTGAGATTTGTGCGCACTTTTTAAAACAACTACGGGACAGAACTCGTTTGTCCTTCAATTTGGCGCTAAATGTTTTATAAAAAACACTAAGAATACAACGTATAGAAAAACTACGTTATTAAAGATAATTTAAGACCAATAGAACAAGAAAAATACCCACTTACTCTCATTACAAAATATAACAAAATGGTGAAAAACTTTATTAAAATTAAAAGAACACTTTGGAACAATCTGCAAAAATACAAACAATGCAGTGAATTTTTTCCCCAAGTGCCTATTATAGCATATAAACGTAAAAAAATATAAAAAATTACCTTGCGAATTCAGGGTAACAGTTGAAAGACTTTTGAAAAGGGACCATGCTTAAACAGTTTTAAGCAAAACATCCCGATATACAGTTAATAATAATCTGAATTATAGGCAAAAAAAGTTGTTAAGTCTTGAAATTTATTACGAATGTTGGTTGTAGGAACTGCATTTCATTATAATGGCAAGAGTTCGGGAGACCAAGATATTAATCTGTTGAATTATTCATCTCATGAATATTCATTAGTAATTTGCATATTAATCTCAGTGTGTTTTTTTTAAAATCTCATTGTGTAATTAACAATTCTCAGTGTGTGTTTTCAATTTATTTCATCTCAGTGTGTCTTTTTAAAATCTCAGTGTGAAATTTTAAATTCTCAGTGCGTGTTTTTTCATTTTTTTTAAATCTCAGTGTGTAATTTTAAAATCTCAGTGTGTAATTTTAAATTCTCAGTGCGTGTTTTTCATATTTTTAAATCTCAGTGTGTAATTTTTAAATCTCAGTGTGTAATTTCGATTTCTCAGTGTGTTATTATAGGTTCTTAAATGTCAGTGTGATTTTTTTAATTCTCAGTGTGTAATTTTTTTCGAAAAAATGGTTTAAACATAGTTTTGACGAGAACGGCTTGCCATACTCATTGGCAATTATATCACCTCTTCTGATTTTTATATTCAAATTTCAAATTCTTTATTAACTTTGAGCACTACAGTGTATTCAAATACAATATATACATATGACATATTACAAACAATATCATTATATATAAATAACAATAGATGACGTCAGAAGTTTCATGTTTACAAAATATCTTTGCAATACACTGTTTCTAAAGTTAAAAGAGAAATGTATATAAGTTACAAAGCTGTTTGTGTTTTCAACAGACAATAATGCTATTAACTTAAAACTTAATGGCCTAGACCAGTAATTTTTCTTGATATATATATTTGTACGCAAATCACTTTATCTGCTACATTGTAGAATGAAATAAAAGTCATCCTCTATCACTCTTAAATCACAAAACATACAATTTCTTTCATTCCTATTAGTACCAACATAACGCCAGTTTGCAAAACTACATTTGTTTCTACATACTTATGTAATCTACACTTTGAAGAAGAGTCTAATAAAATGTAACTCTTGTTTAACTTGATCGAACAAAGCTGTCTAAATAAAGGTAAATATGAACTGTATACATTCAATGGCCTCTGATTATCCTAAAAATTATCCATACCAATTCTATATAACAATCGTTTTATATGTGTTGCCAAATCATACATTTTGACAATTTAACACAAGCTCTTTATACCAAGACCTTAATATACAATTGTCACTTACTAAAACTTTAATCAAAAATAAAAGTATTCTAAAATAACGCCCATACTGAAATGGAAATCTACCGAATTCAAAGTAGGCCAACATATTTAAGGTCGAATTGTAAACTTCTAACCATAGGTCTAATTACATCCTTGGCTGTTAAATGTTTGTGTTTGAGCGTTCCAACCGAAGGTAAATCAAGAAAAACGATTCGGACGCAAAAAAATAATAAAATGTTATCATTTTCAAACCATACCGGGTAACATTGAAATTAATCAAATATTGAATACAGTCGATAAACAAACGAAGAACCATTTGTGAAAATAAAAATATCGGTCTATTCTCCATTGGCTCCACGTTAAAATTTATGTATCCTGCATTAATATTTTGTTTGGTTCATTTCATCATAACTTTTTCTATCAGGACTTATATCAGATTTACTTGTGCGATCTATTCTTCGACCGGGTATATATTTTTGAAAAAATTCCTTAAATTTTGAAGTTGTGCACCGGCTGGTATAAATTTGTTTTAGTTTGTTACCCTGATTTGTTTTTACTTACTCGAATTATGACAATTGAACAGCGGTATACTACTGTTGCCTTTATTTTAGGTTTTCTTTGACAACGAGAGTCAGTTTGTTGATTGATTAACCGTTGCCTGTTTTACGTGCAATGTCAATTATGTAATACATATTAAAGACATAACGAATTAAAAATCTATACAATAGGTCGGTTAACTAGGAGGAAGGGCTGAACAAATTGGAGTGCAACAAGGAAAAGAAGGTTTGTTGGATAGAGCATACATTTCGCCCATCAACCAGCCGCCTACGGACCACTCAGAGTTATTGCAAGGTTCATCTTCTCGCTCTACACAAGGCATCTGATAAAACGTCCCCAGTTTGATCTGACCTAGCCGCGAATGTAAATATTCCGCACAGCCAAACAGACTCTCTACTGTAGCGAGGGTTTTACTTGCGGACAAAAGAGGCCCAGGGATTGCCATATTTCTATTCCCCCTGCTATTCAGTGAGGTTAAAGTCGGTTTAGAACTTAGCGTTACGACAAAAGAGATAATTTCCTGTACCAAGTCAGGGATATGACAGTTGCTTTCCATTCGTTTGATGTATTTGAGCTTTTGATTTTGCCATTTGATCAAGGACTTTCCGTTTTGAATTTTCTTTGGAGTTCGGTATTTTTGTTATTTTCCTTTTTTTTTCTTCTTCAATTGTTGATGGTGAGCTTTCATTTCCTGTGTAGCAACATTGTAAGAATTGAAGGCCGTACTTTGGCCTATAATTGTTTACTTTTTACACATTGTGACTTTGATGGAGAGTTGTCTCATTGATACTCATACCACATCTTCTTATTTCTATTGTACTTGAAACAGTAAAAATATTGATAAGACACGTAAGTGCTCTTTTTTGTAGATACACATTACTGCTCTAAGTTTCAAGTAGCTAACTGTATTGTGAAAGCAATAGGTAAAGTATGTCTTTAAAATACATTTACTCAATTCCTATACTCCAACTTCTATATACACAAGATATTTTACAATGAAAAAAAATACCCTCAGTGAATAAATATTGTAAGATTGAGACATGCAGTTTAAGACACACTTTGTGGGGAATTTAGTTTTAATCAAGATTGTATAAGCCTTCTTTTCGGTGTAATAATATAGCATTCTTTTATCATACAATAATAAGTGTAAAAACTCATCAAAGACTTATAATTGTGTACGCCAGACGCGCGTTTTGCCTACATAATACTCGTCAGTGGTGCTTACATCCATACAGTTGATTGGCCAAATCAAATACGGAGTTGAAGAGCATTAAAAATAAAAAATTCCGAAAAGTTAATCCAAATACAACAAAGGTTATCTATGCCTCGGAGTAGAAAACCATTAGTGTTTTACAACAGATAGTAACAAAATTACATGATAAGAATCAGTACTTACTGTGAATGTACTTTTAGTAGTGGGTATCAATTTTCGTGGTTTGAGCAAGTTACATGTTCGTTGGTTATTTTTTGTGGATTTTAGTTTTCTCGAAAACATCGAGTGGAGAAATTGAAACCATCACAAAACGAAGATTTCTTGAAAATAGTCATATATTGTTTTATAATGATTTGTGGAACAATGCAAAATAAAGTGTTCATTTTCACTAACTTGATCGTCTTTCATTACGGACAACATTCTTCAATTTTTTTTATAAAATAATTGCTTTCGGGAAAAAAAATGAAAACGATTGTCTCGATTGAAGGAAATTGCATAGTAAACATTGTAGTTGTATACAAATCCTTGCACTAATTAACCAGAGATCGAATAATCAACAGATTAGCGATTATCAAAGGTGTTAATTGGGCCATAAACATTAAGAAAACGGATACATAAAAAAAATATTACAAATATTCTTTGAATTATGAAATTAAATCTTATGAAATGAAAAAGCAAATCCAATATGAAATATTTTGTTATCCTATGAGAATTATGAGGATATAAAATGAGCACTACATAATCGCATATCATCACCGGAAGTCTGACTTTCATTGGTCAAAACTAATTTTTCATGAGAATTAAAAGGTTAAAAGTGGTTCAGTTTATGATTTTTAAAGATTAAATGGGTAAAATCCTGTCTGAAGTTGTTTATATAGTTTACAGTGCGTTTGCTGATATTCGATTTATTATCTAGATTATATGGTTGATCCATACGATGTGTCTTTTTCCAAACTAACTAAGGACATTTTTACCACGTGTTAGATTGTGGTTTTTCATTACGTCGTCTGATCTTTTAATTCCCGAACGTGACTTATTCCCGATTGTCACTGTTTTGCTGAGTGTGAAACCGCATTGCTATAAGACGTGTCACGGTACTTTTCTATCCCAAATTCATGTATTTAATTTTGATGTTATATTTGTTATTCTCGTCGGATTTTGTCAAATGTCTTAACGTCTTTTCTGTTATATTCGTGTGTTATGGTAAAGATAATTAATCACCCCCTTCATTTATTAGATTTTAGTTTGGTTCAACGAAATTTATACGATATATTTGGTTTACAGTTTGATTCAGAAGAAACACCGACATAGCTAGATAATACAATTAATTATCTAATGACTACCACAATTTGATATTAATAAGTATTGTAATTTTCATTGTTAATATAAATGTAATTTCAGTATTACAAATCTAATGTTGAATCAATCCTAATCCTATCTTATTTTTGAGAAATATTTTTACAAATTCAAATGTGACGTCACTTTGTGTGTTTTTTTAGAATTTCAAATGTGACGTCACTTTGTGCGTTGAGGCTTTGGCTAACTCGGCTGTGTATTTTTATGTGTTGGATTAAGTTGTTTTATGTAATGTATCCGTTTTTATTCTGTAGTTAGTCCCCACTTCGGTTTTATCATGTATATCTATCAAATATTCATTTTATAAAACTTACTGTTTGCAAAATTATAAATTATTCTAAAATAATAAGGATGTTCTTGTCCCAGGCAGAAAACCCTGGCCGTGTTAGGCGCAACTTTATGGAAGTTTTGGTCCTCGGTGCTCTTCAGCTTTGTACTTGTTTTGGCTTTCAAACTTTTTTCATCTGAGCGTCACTGGTTGGTCTTGTGTGGACGAGACGCACGTCTGGCGTATTGCATTTTAAGCCTAGTACCTTTAGTTAGCTATTATTCGTGTGTTTCTTTATCCTATATGTTCTCCAATTTATTTGTATTGTGGTCCTGTCATGTGATGTTGTCGTTTTGGTGTTGTGTTTGACGTTGCCATAAAAGCGGGAGGTTTGGCATGCCACAAAACCAGGTTGAACCCACCATTTTTTTCTTAAAATGTCCTGTATCAAGTCAGGAAAATGGCCATTGTTATATTATAGTTCGTTTCTGTGTGTGTTACATTTTAATGTTGTGTTTTTGTTGTGTCGTTGTTCTCCTCTTATATTTGATGCGTTTCCCTCAGTTTTAGTTTGTAACCCGGATTTGTTTTTATCTCTATCGATTTATGAGTTTCGAACAGCGGTATACTACTGTTGCCTTTATTTATATGCCCGAAATCATGTAGTCAAACCTTAGATATGGGAATCTTTCTATGTCTTCATTGGGACAACAGTTTTTGTATCTCGTTGGACACTGAAATTCGTGGATAAAGCCATCCTCGAAAACCATGAAAATTGGTATCCAACTAATAAAAGTACTTTCACAATAGTTGACAATCGTAATTAAAGGTAAGCGGTGTCAATTTATTCATTATTTAATTGACGCTTAACATTGTTTCACTTTATTTGACGTTTGTCCAACCCAGTCATGAACTTTACTTGTAGATGTTAACATAGAAACATAGGTGGCAAGCAATGAAAAATGACTATTGCAACAAACTTATCTTGCCGATGACCTACCGAATTAGACTTGTTACCGTGTTTGTACTAACACGAGCAACAGACGGGTGCCACATGTAGAGCAGGATCTGCTTACCCTTCCGGAGCGCCTGAGATCACCCCCAGTTGTTGTTGGTGGGGTACGTGTTGCTTAGTCATTAGTTTTCTATGTTGTGTTTTGTGTACTGTTGTTTGTCTGTTTGTCCTTTTTTTCAGTTTATTTTTGACTTATGAGTTTGAATGTCCCTTTGGTATCTTTCGCGTCTCTTCTGTAGGCAACAAATGCAACTGTCACATATTTCAATAGGATTAAACATGTTGGCAACAAACTAATCTTGTAATTACTAAATAAAAATAACCCACTCATTAATTTAAAAGGTGACACTTTCTCTTACTAGATAGTGAAAAATGACGGTCGTTGATAGATAGGCAACAAACCATAAATTTTGATAGGTTCATACATGTTGGCGAACACAACTTTCATCTATTTTAGTATGATCAAACCTGCTTGCAAGAAACTTTCATATTTGAATAAGATCAAAATATTATAACGTCTTTTTTCTTTATGAAACCAACGATCTTAAGTGTAATATATTTAACATTATATTAGAAAGTTATTTATATTTTTATTCCTTTTTTAAGGAGACTACTACAACCACACAAAGCTAGTTGTTAACTGTGATTGTCCATTGCCGTGTAAATATACACATTATGACGTGTCTTTGACGTCATCACTATTTCCATCGGATTTCTACAGTAAGAAGATCTTTGATGTAATTGGAGCAGAAGATTTGGACTACTACAGGTAACGAAATATCTTTGATTTTTCTAATTGCGTTAACAGTCGTGGTTAGTCAACTATAATAAAGCAGTTTGTGTCTGTGAGTTCATTATTCTGTATAAGTGTTCTTTTGTGTAACATTGAATTCGGAATCTCGAGATCTAGCCCATCATAATTATAATCTACTTAATAATAGATATTACACTTCCAGGCAGGAAGGTCTGAAATTAGTTTGTAACGTCTATTCAGAATAATAACACAGGTATTTGGGGACAGGACAGTTTTTATTTTGTTCTCCACACTTTTTCCAAAAATCCGTTATATTTTGTATTCTTTCAATTCAATTATATTCGTATTTTTCTGTATTAGACTTACATACATATATAATAAACAACATTTGTTTACTATTTACTATCAATTACTAGTTTACTTTATCCTAGTAATTATAATGAGTTAATTTATTACCCGCTCACTGATAATATATATACAGGCAAGGTATCTCATGTCCTACCTTATTTCCTTTTCTCCAAAGTGAATTTTTGGTGGAATTCCAAGCCTTATTCATAACATACTCACTTTCCTTTGGGTCAGTGGACATGATTCTGCTATCTTACGCACACATTAGTTCATTTAATAGTATGTATGTAGGAATAGTAAATGATACAAAAAACACTTTGTTATGAACCACACTATTCCAGTATTTTAATAGAATTGACCCAAACTATCATTATCAAAATACTTGGAAGTAGACCAATTTTCAAGAAGTTAACAATCCAATGAGTGTCACGTGTAAACATTTTTTGCACTTTCTCCACTTCATAAATATCTTTCTAAAAGCATAGGTTTTTTTTATTTTTCCGGATCTCAAAACTACATGATACGTATTGATTTAAGGGCCTCGCGAATCAGTACTTATTTAATTTCCAGTGAAAGAATAAACCAATTGATCACTGCCAAGCTGTTGATTAAATATTATGTCAGTTTGTTTAGTAGTACTGGAGAAATGCGAGACGAAAATTTTTAAGTTAAACATTAAAATTCAAAGTGACGGGTATATTTGTTTCAAGAACGACCGTCGGACAAGTGAATGCAATATAGTCCCTACTGTAGAGTAAAGTTTTTAAATGATGGGCTTAAATGACGCGACATTATTATCATAGAAAGTACCAAGTTTTATTACATACAAACTAGGTTGGCGTCTTCACATTCCAGTGTATGGTCCTTTTAAGAAGAAAGCAGATGCCTATCCAGAATTGTATATTAATTGATCGGTGTTCACCCTTTGTAGATATAAATTATATGAAAAAATTGCCGTGTTAGCTCAATCGACCTTACAAAGTGTTACTTAGGTCCAGTTTAAACAATTATTGTCAAAATGATCATTTTTGTCTTGCTTTGATTGTGTTTTTTCTGCACTGTTCTTTCCTCTTGAACAGTCATTATTAGATTGCCCCCGCATCAGGCTGGTGTGTCTTTCCAAGTTCAGAAACACCTTCAATGAGTATTATTGTCTTTATTTACATCTAATTGATTTTGTACTTTTTATTTCAAAATTGAGTATTGTTGGAATTCAAGAATGTTTTAGTTGCTGTTAATTTTATTTCTATCTTGACTGTATAAATTTAGTTTGATTTGGAAGACTTTATACATTGACCACTAAAAGTCTTTAATATATTATTTCAGTTAAGACTTCACATGAACTATAACTTATATTTATTGTAACAAATGATATATTTTTTACAGACAAAACTACATCGCCCTCCATATCTATTTTGACCAGCTCTCTACAACAATTTCAAAGCAGGTACCAAAGTATTCCTCTGCCGGAGATATATTTGGTATGTATAACATCATTGAAGCTTGAATTTATTTTGATTCTATCATGGGATAGGCCCTTCATACCTACCCCCATGGATAATTTCTATTCTAATTGGACAATTACGGTTTGTGGATCGACGTGCTCTAGATCAAGGCAAATATTTGCCGTTCCCGTAATTTAACTCACTTCAAGTAGTGATGTAAAAGCTCACAAAAACTGAGTTAGTGACATGCTTAAACAATTTTCAATTGCAGGTAAGGTTTTCCGTAGTTTACAATAATAAAACTTCCCAATTCGATTTCTACTAGTATTTCGATTTGAGCTAGAACTCAGTGGTACCGCCAGTAGTTTCCGTCAAGGAATATTTTTGAAGGAGTGCGTTAACTGAATGATTTTTTAGTTATTGCACTCTCCAATCCCGCCGTTGGTCGCTTCTCCTCGGAAAAGCTAAGAATAGGAGGAGCTTAAATCAGTGCTCTAACTTCTATCTCAGAAGTTGTTATTGAACAGTCTGTCTCTGCCTCCTTGGAGTAGTAAATAATGAAAGAATTACAAAAATATAATAAAAATGACCATAAATTTTCATACAATTATTTTGGTTGGATATCTGTTTTTGTCGTGTGTGATTAAGTATTCAAAAAATATTCGTCACTGGATGTTAAGTAGTCTTCTCCATTTTATAAAGGTCTATATCCGTGACTTGAGCATGCTTCAAATATTTGTGCCTGAACCTTATACGCAATCAACAACCACTCAATTAACCGATCTTTTTTCTAGTCGTATACGTAATTGGAATTGAAAAATGTTTCCTTCTTATCACAACGTTAAAACTCCTTTGAAACTACACGTCCTATTTGGATTTAAAGGCAGATAAACATCGAATAGAATTTTGCATCTACCACCTCCCCCTCAAGAATGTTCGGGAAGAAAAAGCTATTTAATAACCACATAAATGGCTCTCGGGTTTGAATCCCACCGGCAACTATTCATTTAAATGTACCTGTATCTGAAATACAAATCTTACTGCCATCTGCTGTATTTGTTAATTTTCTGAAAATGAGATATAGTATCTCGCCACTATTTGAGTGACATATTGAAAAGGACAAGAAAGTTTAATGGCCCATTAATGTTACAAATCATATATAGCCATGCCTTACCCATTACCATATTTAATCCACTCAAAGCTACGCTTTTCGTGAAATAAATACGTTAATTCCTAAAAGGCGTGCTATATATATAACTTTGCGCTGTATAATTGCATGACAGAATTTATTCCCTCCTAGTGGCAGTCAAATTTTTCAGTTATTCATCTCGGTCGACCTAATAGACCACTTTCGAATTATGTCATTCACCGGAAAAGTTCGTCAATTATGTGTGCCTTTATGACGTCATTTACCAGATAGAGGGGACCGTCTGTATCCCTTCACTGTTAAAGTTCATCAAGCGTCTTCGTGATTGTCATTATGTAGCATATACTAGAAATAATGTTTGTTCCGTAGGTACTAAATCACTATTCCCTAATCACAGCAGTGCTGATTATCAATTATAGGAATTTAATTTGCCGAATAATTCGTGAAATATAGCATCATATTTTTTCAACCGCTCGCTCAACATGGGAAGGAAGTGACGATGCTCCTAAACGCACGAATGATGTTATCTAAAACCAAAGTTTTTGACGGAAATGCAACGAACTTGAAAGTGGTCTAACACAAGGCAGAGAGATAATTACTTTTTTTCTTCATTATTTTCGTCCTTTTTATACAAGAAATACAAGTTCAGAACCATAGCCTTCAAGCTATTGCAAAGTTAGAGTATACCCTGTATAACTATGACCTCGATTCAAGCAAAAAATAATCTGCAAAATTGTGACATGATTTTTTACTTTCATAAGCTAACCTTGGTGGACAAATGGGATTGTTTCTTGGCGCCAGTATTGTTACCCTTACAGAACTTTGCGAGTTCCTGATATTTGCTTTCTGGACGTTCATGAACAACCTAAAAAAGAGAGGAACCAGAGTGCAAAAAATAGCTATTAAATAAAGATGGTTTCAGATGACAATCTGAAAATTTTTGCTATGCAGTCAACTGTACGAAAGGTGACAAACAAGTGCCGATATTAATACAACTTTCAATAGATATGAAATTAATGATGAGCAGCCAATTATCGATCCTTTTCATTTTTTGGTGTAATTATTGCAGAAAAGTTGACATTTCCCGAAAAGAACTGTTTGTTAGAGTTTCAGAAAAACTTTAATATAGGTTATCCAAATACTCGACCATTGATATCAACAAATTATATTCCAAACTATTGCAATATTGGTGAGTTTCTGTGCAACATTAATTCAATTTTTATAAAGAGACGCTCACATACACACTGTTATCTGTTTTTTCTATATTAGTTGCTTATCATACGATATCAATGAATAATCAATGTTGAAATTGTCAGAAATCATAATAAACTAGCATGTTATACTAGATTTGTTAATTTGCTAATGTATTTGTATTGGCCACAGCTCTATATATTAAAATCAAAATATGTCGCCTCAAGTCAGATCCTCAGAACTTCCTTAGCAAGGAGGTATGGCTTTCATAAATAGAAAAAGGTTCCGATTGTGAACATCAATGAATCAGAGGATGTCACAAAGAGTTCAGTTCAATCAATTACGCTTTGGAGAAATACCTCCAGCTAGGACTATCTGTATAGAAATACGAGTATTAATTACCACTTTATAGTTTACATACGAATCGATCTTGCAATATATTATGTTCTCTAAAATTTTAAAAATAGATATACAAGTTTAAACTTTCAAAAAAAGTATGGAGTACTAGTGCTTTGCAATTTTGTTTTTATAATTTTTTTTTTTCTGGAAGTATTTATTTACAAGAAAATGTGCAACACTAAATTGATTAATTTTGACCAGTTTTCCTTAATCAACTAAAAGTTATCCATCAAAAATCGAAAATTGGTATAGGGGAATAACCCCTATAAAGATTTGATTGACAATTTCGGTCATTCTTACAATTGTAGATCTTGTCCTACTCCTCACTTTTGGTTTTCTAAGTATCTATCATTTATTATAGATTTCAAGATGATAATAACTCCTGTAAGGAGTTGACTGAAAATTTAGGCAATAGTAACCTTTACGTAGATCTTGTCTCGCTGGTCAATTTTGCTATTGAAATTTCGATTTATCTTTTATAGTTTTCAAGAAAATATGCGAAAAAGCAAACTATTGGTAAAATTGTCATTTGAGGTCAATAAGTTCTTTAAAGAGTCTAGTTGTGTGGATCATTTTCAGAGCTTGAGGCGTTTTTTCTAAAAATCGATTCTTGTTATAGAAGTTTACTGCTTATAAGGAAGTTACTGAACAAAGGATTCTCAATATGATTTGGTTAACCATTTTATATAATATGTCGCAGATGACCAATAGTTCTAAAGGAAATAGTAAATGGAACTAACATTGCTCGATTGCCGTTTTAAAACTCATGTTTTAGTCCCCTCCTTTGTCAACTCAAGTCACCCCCTTTTTCTTATTGCAGTACTGAAGATGTACATCTAAGATGTCCTGTCTAGAAAAGAACTCAAACATCGACGACATAAGTGTAATGCGTCCTCGTGATTCATAACATGTGATGTCAGAAGACACATAGCTGGTTTTTTTTTTTGGTAAACAAAAATGAGGTCTACATGCTTTGTACCTGAGTTTTTTATGCCGCCCGATAAAATGTCTGAGGGCATATTAATTTATCCCTGTCCGTCCGTCCGTCCAGATATAGATACATGATATGTCCATCTATCTCCTCCTATATTTTGGTACTAGCTGCATTAAGAGATCATTATTTGTCTGGCAATCTCCTACTACAGTTTTGGAGCTACAACTTTGTAGGTTTTTTTGTACACATAATGGAAGTGTATAAAAATAAGGAGGTAAGATATGATTGTCAATGAGACAACTATCCACCAACGTTCAAATAAAGTGGATGTAAGCAATTATAGGCAACCGTACGGCCTTTAACAATGAAAAAAACCCATACCGTATAGTCGGCTATAAAAGGCCCCGACATGTAAAATATGAAACAATTCAATTTAGAAAACTAACGGCCTGATTTATAACAAACAAATTATCGTAAAAAACAAATTTGCATGTCCACAGGATTTTGATTTTTTATTCAATTATTCTCAAAATGCCAGTATTTGAAATTAGTAATTTGTTTGGTACTCAGAATAAAAATAAAAGATAGATCATCATACAGTGTTAAATCAATAATTTCTTATGATCAGGCGGGTGCATAATTTGTGTCTTACAGACTTGTACTTTAACATCACTGTTTGTCAAATCTAAAGTATGTGGAACTATAAACATGCATACGGCAGAGCAGGGGGGCATCGTCCATAGCTAGTTTATGTCCTCATTCTCTGTCACATCTGCGTTATCCTTCAGGTTTGTGTATCTGTTCTATCGATCACCTTGAGTGAGACTGGGAACTCAATCTCACTTCATCTTGTCAAACAGCTTGTTATATTAGTTCACTCGGTTTGTATGCATCTGATTCACTTCCTTATGACATAAAGTAGACAGTGAAAACATTCCAAGTCGTCGTTGTTCACATTGACGATTCCCTGCTTTCGTGTGACTAGTTTTTGAAGTGAAATGTAGGAATTCCACGCCAGCGCCTTGTTTATGTGATTTCCTAGATATTGAATGTTTCCAAAGATCGTGTTGAAATTAAGCTGTATTTGATATTTTGCTTCATGAAGCCATTCCCAATACCATGTTCCTTGACATGGTTGTAATTGCGTCAGAATATCGAAAGTTTGGAACAACGTTTGGTTTCTCTTTGATCGTTGAAGTAATTGTACTTTCAATCCCTTCTCCTTCAAAACCGTCGATTTGCTTTCTCGGATACTAACGAGACTCAGATTGAATAAGGCCGTGTTAACATTGAGCTAAACTCGGTGTGGTGTAAGTGTACGTAACACTTAAACTAAACTCTATTGCGTTTCCATTGATAAAAATCAATGTTTACATGTAGTTTAAATCAAGTTTTGCAGTCGATAGTCAATGTAGGCCTCGTGTGGGTTAAGTGTCCAAAAAACTAGATATTAAGAACGAGGATTTTATTATGATTTTTTAAGAAAGTTACATATATTGAATAAACATTATTATAATTATGAATTAAGTTATTTACCTAGTATTTATATGACTGAAAAATTGATCAGTTAAAAACATGATTAACTTTAAATAGCCTTAGAGGCCCATTTGATTTTTAGTGGGAAGGGTATTATTTGCTGATGGAATATTCATGTTACACCTGTTGATTGTACGGCTTATTTATCTAGCGCGAAATTATTTTCACTTTTCGTACACAACTATTGCTTGTAAAGTCCTGCATTTTGTAGGACTAGATACTCATTTTCATCCTGTCTTAGACAATGTTATTTTTTACAGTCAATACCAGTTCAGAATGTTCATTTCCAAAATCACCCAAGGGAATAACCATGTTTGTTACACAGGTACTTTTTTAAACTTCATGTTGAATCCACCCACCCTTCATGTTCATTGGAATCATACGATTATAAACAGTTAATCTACCACCACCCCAAAAAAAATTGATTTAAGATTAAATAAACATGAAATTGGTCTGCGCCTTACTGATACAAAAGTTTAGAGGGATATGTTTAAGTCAATTCTATGTAATGTACATGTAAATTACGTGTACATGTAGTTTACTGGTGTGAAAAATTCCACTGTACAGGTATTTAAAACCGATGTACAAAATGAGAACAAATGCAATGTGAAAAACAGTGTTCATTACATGAAACTAATTATAAACATGTTTACAGAACGCGACGTTTGGTGTAAACACGGCCTTAGATATATGTCCACATCTTGCGCTTTCAAATTATTGCATCAAACCGTTACATCGATATCATATCGATATGGAGGCCCCTCGATGTCATTAACACAAACTTCGACAAGCCATCTCTTCAAAGTGGAATAGTTGACCAAACTATGTTTCCTAACGACAACTTTCAGCGGCTTCCTCGTAATAACCTCCTCGGTTGAACTTTTTGTTGTTTTTACCTCAATGATCTTCAACAACAAATCCTTAGAGCATCTGCTGCGATTGGACATAATTACTATTTTAACGCACATCTCATAAACTATTGAACAAAATACGGCTCAGTAGTAAAACATTTATTTTGCTTGGTCAATTTATTAGAACTATTGCTGTGTACAAAAAACTATCTTAAAATCAACTGAACTGAAGTAAAACAGACGTGTATCATATCTACAGATGACGTATAAATAATTGTGTGTTCTGTATTTGATTGTTAAGACTGGAGATGAGAATCATTAGATAAAAGTAGGATTTAAAGTGAAAGATTTAATTGTCATTTGAGAGTATCGTTTGACAATATCTAACAAATTGTAACTGACACTACCAAAATAAAACCAACCTCAAACAAACGCACCATAAACTTAAGCTATAACTAAACCAAGAAAACCAATGTTCTGGACTGCGCGCTTTCATTTGTATATGCAAAACTACAAAACAATAAAACAAGATAATATCTTTCAATAATTCGTTTGTAAGCACTCATGCTTTGTGGCCCATTTTTCATACTTCATAAAAAAAACGACAAAACGCAATATTCTCCATTTTCTAATCGATATAGGTAAATAGATGACGATGTTAACCTTACGATTTGGTCTATTTCTAGTATGATCTATTATCTCCCATACCTTAAGAGTCCTGAGATAAAATCAAACAGACTCATTGACCGCGAAAATAAAGTAACTGTTTGCTTTTCTTTTCAATTTGAAGAAAAAATCGAATAATAATCGGAAGCTTTTAAAATGATTTTTGACGGAAAAAACTGTGTTTAAAAGCTTGTTTTTGAAATAAAATACATAAATATTATTGCTCCCGTAGCTTACATATAGAATATGACGAGTAAAGACATTTCTCCGTCTTATACTGGACCATTACAGAATATTGGTGACCTATGGAACGACTTCAGTCAAAATACAGGATTCCATGGGGTAAATAAACTATCTGGGAAAACGAGCAGACCCAAAATAAGATTGTGAGTATGAATTAATTGGAATAAAAATTCGAAATTAATTTTGTATTCAATCAATCCGGCTTCTAAAATATTTAAAACTTGTTCATGACAGTAAAAATGTACAATAGAAATTATGATAGGACAATTAAAATTGTAAAACAAATTCTAAAATCTTCCAAAAGTCTAGAAGTTGCATGAGTAGAAACAAACTGCTTATTTTAGTGCAATAATATCTATTTGTATGTCATCCAACAATCTTTCATGTTGACGTTTCTGGTTTCAGGT